CAAGTGGCTTAAAATAGGAATGCCTAAAATAGCCAGAGAGTAAGATAACTTTGTAGCAGTTGCACAGTGACTGCATTAATTATAGAAATGCTTGTAATAATTCAAACAGGTAGAAGAGGGAAGAATTGACATTCTTTCTGGTTGCCTAATACAACCTGTGAAATTTCTGAAATGTGCCAACTATTTACTCATGTCTCTCTTTCTGATAGGAGACAATGCAATCAGATTGCTGAGAACAAATTGGGAGGAGTGTAGCTCAGGGGTAGTGTAAGAGTAATTACTTTAGAACATACGGATGTGTCCCACCCAATCTAGGAAACATGAGCAGAGTGCTCAAAGACTGCCCATTTTTTGCTTTTTAAAAAAGGGGAAAGAATTGATGAATCTTAAAAAAAAAAAAAAAAAAAAAGTACAACTGTCTCTATTTTCATATTTGGAAAACTATTGGAGGGTCAACATAATGATGTCTAAACATTTTTAGAATTCCATGGACTTTATCTGAAACAAAGGATGATGTCCTAATGCCCCCAGGGTGCTATGCCTGCAGCTAAATCTCTGGCCTCCCCAAAGATGCTGACTAGTGACCCCGAAGCTGACTTTCCCTGTACACTCCCAGCAGGGCTGGTATGGATATGATGAACCAAGCATCCCTCCACACCATCAAATCCCACCGTTCTAACTTTTCAGGCATTAAAACTGTACTTTGTAAATTATATCCTTAGAGACATTCACCAAAGTGGCCTTTTCAGTGCTGTGGGGACATCCACATCAGTGGATGTGTGAGTGTGCAGACTCCGGGGCCAGACTGCCAGGGCTCAGACACATACCAGTGATGGGACAAGTTGTGTGCCCTCTTTCCCTGTCAGTAAAATCAAGGTTTTACTTATCTACCTTACAGGGTTGTTGTGAGGATAAAATGAGCTAATAGAACAGTGCCTGGCACTGGTACATGCCATAGTAAGCATTAGTTAGGAATGTATTCCTATCATAATTACTTATATGAAGCACTTGAAATTATATAAGGCATTTTTGGGGTTATAGGTGCATAGGCATGCACTTGCCAATATATATGTGAATTAATAGTTGCTGCTTTTATAATCCTGGAAGTGGAATTTCCCAACAATGTGAATTCTCTTCTCTTCCTTTCCCTTTGCCACTACCTGCCACCAAACAGCTTTCTCATCATCTGTTCATGTTTTGTTTTCTTTTTTTTCCTTGTATATCCAATGTTCCCTCCTCCTCCTTCACAGCTTATTTAATTCTATTCTGGGAAATTTGTTTATTATATTTACTCACACTTCTCTGGAGCCTTCTTATTTTCTTTCACACTTCTAAGTTTATTTTATTTTATTTTTATCACCTAAGTGATATGGGAAGTGGGTGATAAAAGGTAAGCCATGTTACTGACATGCTGGGTCAAAATGAAGAGAGCAAGTTGCCATGGGAGTGAGTCCAGGGCTGGACAGAAGGGCCCACCTTTTTCTGGTTTTAAAGTCCAATGTCTAGCATTTCAGACTTAGATAAATATTTTACTACCATGGGTCTGTTGCCTTGTATGGGTGAAGCACTAGGTTAGATCTTTTAGATGGATTATTATTTTATCCTTACAACAACTCCTCAAAGGTACATGTAACTTCTATCTTACAGATGAAGAAAAGCAAAATAGAGAGATAAGTACCTTTCCCTTGACCATATCACTACAAAGTAGAGAGGTAGAGTTAAAACCCAGATGTTCTTACTATAAACTCAATTTTCTTCCCACTACTCAAAATTCTACCATCATAATATCAGTGGAAGCAGTAATAATGTCCAAATTCCAACAATAGCATGCCCTTAAAACTCCCATTCAGAATTCCATACATTCCTATATATCTCTATCCCTTTCTGTAAAGAAACCAACTTTTTCTACAACACTCACTCACTCACTCACTCACTCCATCCATCCAGTCATCCCTCCATTCATTGATCTATCCATCCAATCACATATACACCCATTCAAAGACATCCATCTAATCATCTATCCATCCATTCTTTGATTAACTATTTGCTATGTTACAGGCACTGTAATAAGCTCTGAGGAAATCCCTATCTTTAAGGAGTTCTCAGCCTAGAAAAGGGGACAACATGTAAACAAAACCCTATAATATAATGTGTTGAAGGAAATACATGGTGGTACTTACAAGGTGTTACAGAGAGATGGGAGGAAAATAGCTAACGTTTCCCAGGGAAAGATATTGCACTTGGAAACCCGGCACTGTGGAAGGCTCATGGAGAAACCACCTGAAGTTGTGTCCAAAATTCTCTTCTGGGGGGTTTGTGGCTAAAGGAGGACAGAGGTGGGAGTTTGACTGAGACATCACAGAGGAGTTTTAAGTGTGTTCATCTTTGAAATAATGAAGAAGCTGCCAGGAACCAGAAGTGGAGGGGGACATTCCAGGTAAAAGAAACCACAAGTAGAGGAGTATATGCAAATAACTTGCTGGGACTCCAAGACAGAGTACCGCATGAGAGAGAGGCAGGAGACAAAGCACTGAGGACAGGTGGCTAGAGTGCAGGATCAAGAAAGGAATGGTGTGGAAGTAAAAAAATTCCTTCTTGAAGATACTGAAAATGCTCACAAAGGCGTATTACAGTTTACTATCAAATTTATTCTTCAGTGAGTGCTTTTAAACAAAATGATAGCCGTTCTTTCTGACCATTTCCAGAAACTTGTCACAAATTCTCTATATTTGGGGATAAATTTGCATTCAGGAGTTGAGCTGGGAGCCCAACCTTGTTTCTGAGGGACAGTGTGTTCTGAATTCCAAACAATGGCTTACAAAGCTTGTGGAGTGCAATAGGCTGAAAGCTGGCACAGTGGCATCGCCCTCAGTGACATGTCTGATGTTTCAAAAATGGGGCAGGGGAAGAGGACATTCTCTAAATGAAGACACTATTTTGGTGCTCAGAATGTGTCAGAACTATTTGGAGATGGATTTCATTTGAGGTATTAGTTAAATTTATGATATAGACTTCACCATAGCAATTTCTGCAACACATTTTTCTTCCCCCACATTTGGGGTTAAGATTAAGAAGGTTAATTAAATATATGTGTACACACACACACACACACACACACACACACACTCCTCTCCCAAAGAAGAAGCTGGTTGGAACTGGAACCATTTCCACAGATCTCAAGGCTCATTCACCCATCTCCTTAGATTGGACAGAAGCCACGTGTCTAAGCCTGATAATTCCCCTTTCTGTCTGAGCTGATCAATACACCATTTTGCACCCTCCAGCACAAAACCCCGAATGTGCTTCCTTTTCTAAAAGGAGGCCTCTGTTTTGCTGGGATTAAGAGGGCAGAGTCCCATGGCACAGTTTGCAGTCAGTTTTTGGCATCTGAAAAGCCTTCCTTCTTTCAAGAACTGTGGGCAGCCCGTCAAGAGGGAACAGCGATTTGGCATTTGGGCTGAGGATCTTACCTGCCAACTGGGCTGCCCTGAACGTATTGTTTCTGACACCTGGGGAAACACACGCCACAAGAACAGGCTTTGTGGCATCGGCACAGTTTTGAGGAGCACAGCTGCTCCGAATGGAAGGGAGGGCAGCCAGCTGCGTTTGTCCCATTTCTTGGGGAGCAGCATCCCTCAGCCTCCTGCACGTGCTGCTAGGGCATGACTGTGGCCTCTCAGCACTCCTCTTTCAGAGACCCTCACCCATTAACATCACAGCCACGGAATCACACATTGTACGCACAGTTGCTCTGACTGGCATTTTTTCTTTTCATTACCCATCGCCCTCTATGCTTCACTGTGGGTGTCCACCTTACCAAGAAGGTGAGTGGAAATTGACCTACAGAGAGGCTTGCTAACTCAATATGTTCCAACAGATGTTTCTTCTAGGATGCTGTCTCCTAATTTTATTTTCATTCAACAAGTATCTATTGGCTATCAACTTTCCTCAGCTTCCCCGAGAAGACAGTGAGCATACAGACTTCTGGAAGTATCCCCAAAAGGCCTCCATCCCTAAAGCCGAGTCCAGAAGCGAAAGAGGAGCCAGAAGGGCCCCGGGAGCCAGGCTGTGGGCTCAGCCTCTGTGCCTCAGGCTGCTGGCCCTCAGACCCTAGTTCATAACCATTGTCTTTTTCTTCTATCTAATCATTCTTTTTTTTTTAAAATATATTTTATTGATTTTTTACAGAGAGGAAGCGAGAGGGATAAAGAGTTAAAAACATCGATAAGAGAGAATCATCAATCAGCTGCCTCCTGCACCCTCCCACTGGGGATGTTCCCGCAACCAAGGTACATGCCCTTGACCGGAATCAAACCCTGGACCTTTCATTCCCCGGGCTGACGCTCTATCCACTGAGCCAAACTGGTTTCGGCTATCTAATCATTCTTAATGAGTGAATCTAATCTCCTCAATTAAAAAGGAAGAGAACGTCATACTCTACAATATATTGCTTCAACAGAGAAGACAGAGCAAAGCTATCCAGCAAGCCGAGAAGACAACTTCAGTAGAATATTAAACGCTAAATAGTTAATCAGAGAGTCTGGTCCCCAGAGGCTTAGAATATGAAGTCCATAGTTACATCCTTCCTTCTTAGCATGTGCAGAAAATATTTTTGAAAATAATTGCCCAGATAAGCAGAGGGTGGAAAAGCGCTGGCTGTGTAACAGTAAAAAACACTTCTTGCGTCCAGAACCATTTTAGAGTCTTGGCAGGGGGGAGCTTTTATATAAATATCTACATAATTATGTGAATCTATCGGATATAAATAATAAGCCACAAACACCAGCAAAACCTGGCTGAGAAATTTTAAAGCAGCGGAGGCTCCCTAACCTTTTGGAATCTTGATCAATTCATTGGTAGCCCCGAAAAGCCCCGAGAGGGACAGTTCCTTGTACCCGTTAGCCACGTTCTCCTCTCCCAAACGTTCCTGCCGGAGGGGCAGAAAGACATCTCTGCACAGAAAGACAATCTGAAAAATCGTGAACAAACAGCCTACATACCCTGCAGTCTTGGTCCTCCATGAAGGGGCTGCTGTGTTGCTATCAGGCCATATGTTCGAATGTTCTCCGACTTCCTTTCTGACTCAGATCGAATGAATCCGCAGCACTGATGTAAGGCTCTTAATGGGAATCTGTTTTCAATTCAGGGCAGATGTGGGACACTCTTGTAGCCCCAGGGATTATCAACCCTAAAACAAATCGCCTTCAGGACGATAAGTCAGGAGGCAGGAACTGCTTCCTGAGGCCTGCTTGGGGTTCCTTCCAAATGCTTAACTTATAACACAATCGCTACGGCACACAAGCAGGCTTTTGCTCTGGAGGTTCTCAGGCAAATCCGCCGCCGAAACAAAGCTTGTAAATTCATCTCAGAGCGTTTGCCTAGAAATTCAGATGTTTTTAGTAACATACAAACGTGGTCACAATGTCCCTGGCTCCCGCCCTCCTCACAATTCTCTCAGCGCTGTGTTTGGAGCACGGAATATAGCTTTTCCACAAATTGAAATTGAATTGTTCTGGTTCAGAGTTTTCTTGGCTCAAGGAAAGGAAAGGGAGGGCTAGTCCAAGACATCCGCAGAGAAACATCCAGAAATCAATTGAACACAATAAGTTTAATGTTGCACAATTAGCTTTCACAGGGTATGGACAACCTACAGCTCGGAGCACCTCTGAGGCCACTCTGTAGAGCTGGCTTATTGACCAGAATTTTAGAATCCCTCCCTTCGCACCCCCCATCCCCAATCATAGCTGGGGTTTAATATAGTTCAATTCAATTTAATAACTCCAAAAAGAGCTTTTGAACACCACTAACTTGTAAGAAATCTAAAGGGAATATTTTTAAGATTTTAAAATAAAACTTCCCTCTTAATTAAAAGTTCTTATGTAGAACTTTAAAATATTAAAAGGTAGCATGCATGCCATTTCCCCACAAAGTCCACACAGTTAAGTTTAGTTATAAGTAACCTTAGCAAAGAGCCATAAAAGAGTAACATTACATTATAGAGTATTTAAAAGACACAGTCGATTCTTTAAAATTAATATTATTAATGTGACTAACAGAGCTACGTGATATGGGAAAACATTAAGTCACCCACCAAAGAATACTAGGGCCACTGTTTCTCTTATCCTCCTGAGGAAGCCAGATTAAACTTCTTCTACTCACACACGGGCTAACTATTATAGATACCCGCCTGGCAGTAGTATATGGGGTGTTCAGAGCAATGGATGGGACAGAAAGGGGACCTCTCTGTCCCCAGATCTCTTTAACTGAGTGGCTCTGAACAAGCCACTGCCCAGCCACAGTTTATTTGCAGAGTGGCCGAATTATGTAGGTGATTTCTAAAACTCAAACCTCAAATATCAATTATGATACAATGACCAACGCCTGGTAGAACAGAAGGTAAAGGCCCTTCCTTTCTTTTGGTCTCAAGAGTAATCACTAACTGGCATCAGCTGACATCTCAGACAACATTTCCCCCCATCTTAAAGCATGTACTTTATAATTACGACTAGCAAGTAAGGTGACCAGACGTCCCGCTTTTGGTGGGAGAGTCTTGATTTTTAACATTTTGTCCCACGTCTTTTTGAAAACGCTGTGGACGTGGGACAACTTGTTAAAAATCGGGGCTGTCCCACCAAAAGCAGGATGTCTGGTCACCTTACTAGTAAGGCAAGTTTTAACTAAAATGTTAAGGGTAAAGAAACCTACCACTTGATACAAATTAAACATATATTTGGTTTGATAGGCTTCATGAAAAACAATTACTCCATATTTCTCATCCTGTTCACAGGCATTAATAATGTACTTATTATTATCTGGCAAAGTTCAGAAGTGAATACGAGTCACAAAGCACTATGAAGGAAAATGCAAATGTTCTGAATATATATATATATATATATATATATATATATATATATATACACACATTTAAAAAATACATATATATATATATTTTTTTAAAAAATGTTTTTATTGATTTTTAGAGAAAGAGAGAGGGAGAGGGAGAGAGAAACATCGATATGAGAGTGAAACAGAGATCAGCTGTCCCCTGCACACCCCAACAAGGGATCAATCCTGTCACCTGGGCATGTGCCCTGACTGGAACTGAACCGGTAACTCTTTGGTGCACGGGATGATGCCCAACCACTGGGCCACACCAGCCAGGGATGAACCTGTATATTTATTAAAATCAATTTCTATTCTCTTTCTTGTTAACAAGCTTAGAATTAAACACAGTTTGTAAATACTGACAATATTTATGACCAAACACTGCTGAGACAAAGGCTGGACCCAAACAGTGCAGGAAATAGGAAGGAGGAAAGCTTTTAGAGTTAACTACCTAGGAGAGTGGATATGACCCCAGAGAAAATGGGATTCTGCAAGACTGAATTTTTCAAAGAAAAGTTAGAATGTTCAGTGGGGACTGCTAGACTAGTGGTTCTGGCAGAGTTTGATGCTTTCAAAATAGTGAGGAGGAGTGGAAATAGTTGTCGCCATGTCCAATCAGAGTTGAGTTGAGATTTGCAACTTGGATATTAGCAGTTAAGGATCTCATCCCCACACCCCCATATTTGCCAGGTTCCACAGTAGCTTCTCTGTATGTTATTTTCATTAAATTTGATCTGCCTAATTTTCCCATGAGAGCTAAATGTAATAATGTAGGCTTTACAGAGCTCTGTAATATGTCTTTTTTAGAGGGGAATAAATAAAAATTAAGTTGTCTGCCCCATTTTCACTGTGCACATCAAACCTGAGTTTATTATTTTATTTCACAATATACAAACATTTATTCTTAAGTGAAATAATTCTTTTTTTTCCATTCCTTTCTTGGCATTCCAAATTGTTTGATCAAGGAAAATTTCAAAACATTGAAAGCCTTTCCACCAGTCAAGGTTTCCTGAACTAGAAAGGGGCTAGGGATGATTCCTGCAGAAAGAAATGGCTAACCCTTGTGTTACTTATTGCTCACGTAGTTAACACACATTCACTTCGGTTCACGGGATCATAAAGTTTCACATGGCTGAGAGAGAATCAAGTGTGAAGACTTTCAACAATATCCCTTCCAACTCTCAGACCATGATTCAACACAGTGTGTCTCATAATTGCCTGCTGAGAAGAGGCAGCTGGGGTGCTTGTTGAAAATACAAACCCAAGCCCCTTCCCTGAGAAAGCTGATTCTGTAGGTAGGGTGGGTTTCCAGGACTCCTTGTCATCAGGCAAGTTTAGGAAATACTTTAGTCCCTGACTCTTGACCGTGGCTAGATGTTGCAATCACTTGGGAATCTGACTTTATTAGTCTGGGGTATGGCCTGAGCAATTGGATTCTTAGAAACTTCCAGGCGACTCTAATGTGCAGCCAGGGTTGAGAATCACTAACTTGATTAAAATTGTCCGTTAAGTGGAACATGTGTGGAAGCAATACCTAACATTCCCGTGATGATAGTGAAGGTGCTTTTGCATACACGTGTCTCATTTGGGTCCTTGACAATCTGTCGAGGTGGCAGGAGTGGGCATTATTTTTCTTTTATAGATAAGCCAACCAAAGCTCAGAGGTGAAGAGGCTTGATGGGAGTCCCTTCTCTCTCCAGAATTATGGAATCAGTGGGCTTTTAGTTACTCTACTACCCTACCCATGTTCTTTTGCTCCTTACTAGGTCTCCAGTGTTCACAGTCTCCCTTTAAAAACAAAACAAAGCAAAACAAAACTTTGGGTTGCCTAGAACTCCTTTTACATCAAAATTGTTATTAATAACTAGAGTCCTGGTGCACTACATTTGTGCACTCGGGGGGAGGAGGGAAGTGTCCTTCAGCCCAGCCTGTGCGCTTTTGCAGTTCAGGATCTCTCAGAGGATGTCCTGCTGACAGCTTAGTCAGACATCCTTAGCACTGCTATGGAGGTGGGAGAGGCTCCTGCCACCACTGCTGCATTCACCAGCATCAGCCCGGTTTCTGGTGCTCCCAGAAGTGGTGCTCCCCCTGTGGGAGTGCACAGACACCCAGGGGGCAGCTCCTGCATTGAGCATCTGCCCCCTGGTGGTCAGTGTACATCATAACAACTGGTTGTTCCGCTGATAGGTCGATTTGCATATTACCCTTTTATTATATAGGGTAATACTTACAACAACCATAGTAGCAGCTTACATTGGGCACTTTCTATACATTATGCTAAGTGCTCTGCATGCATTATCTTAATTGTCGTAAGGACTCCTTAAGATAGGTTTTTATCCTCATTTTACAGGTGAGAAAACTGAGACTTAGAGAATAATGTGCCAAAGGTCACATTTCTATGTGACACTTTTCTTATTCCATCCAAATCTCTTCTTATTTTCCCTGCAGAACTTCAGCAAGTGGCAGAGATGTAAGTATCTGATAAAGTAATTCAAAGAAAGTTATCATGGACAATTACAGCTTTCCTGAATTCTGTTGCTACGTCTAATATGGGATCAGATTTTTAAAGAAACTTTTAGAGCAAGCCATTCAAAAATATTAGTATCTAGTCCTTGAGGAGTTCAACTGGAGAATTGTAGGTCAATTTGTAACTACCTGGTTTGTCTGTGACTAAGGTTAATCCTGCCTTCCCGGACATAGTCACAGTGGACTGACTTGGCATCAGAAGGCTTGGGCTTGGATCCCAAATGCTTTTTATTAGCTGCAGAGTCTTGAGCCAGTCACCTCAAGGATATGGCTCAACGTTCTGAGAGAATCAGGCCCAGTTGGAACATTACTGGCAATCAATATTCTCATATCTATTTTTCTAAGGTTTCCAAAGTACTGAGCTTTATCTTTTCTGGCTATTCCATTGTTGTGGCTGTTCTTTTTATAACCATTATCATTGTTACTATATCAATAGATATGCTATACTAGACATGAGACAATAAACTATATTTGGATTTTATTTATTTTTATATATTATATTTAACTTGTAAATAAAATGCTCAGTACAGTAAATGGTACAGAGTAAGCAAATAATCTAGACATCATCACCAGCACCACTGTCATCATTAAACTTATTATTTTCTGGATA